CCTTTGTGTATCATCAAGCCGGTAGGCTGTTCTATTGTGCTCGAAAGAAATTTGTTCAACATCAATAGTTGTTCCTTGGTGAAGGGGCTAAGGCCGACCGACTCTTCTGAAGAGATAGTAGCATGGGTCTTGTATCTTGGTCTTTCCTCCCTTGCAGTGATTTTCAGTCTCTGGATTTTCCATGTAGTTTTCAATACTTATCCTTTGTTTGATTAACTTTCTTGTAAAGTTCATACAAGGAACGATTCTTTTTGGATTTGGCTCATAAGAAGAGTTGTGTATACAAGGTAGAGCTTTCAGTGCTAGATGAATCCACAGTTTTTCTCATCATGAGCTTCTTTCAATTTTCTTCTCTTATGACTTCAACAAAGGCTTCCCTTGTGTTAGGGGGAGACTTCTTCCCCATATTTCTTCCTTCGACATCATTTAAGTTTTTTAAACTCAATAGGAACTCGATCATCCACTGCTTCTCTGCTAGTATTTTATACAACATAGCATCTTGAGGTTACTTCCATACATCTATCATACATATCTAATTGTAACTGATACTTTGTAAATGTGTTGAAGTTTTGAGTCACATTTAACTATACTTCTCAGAGGTTATGTAGTTTGGTCTCAATCTCAAACAAATTTACAATGTTTTTGATACTGGAATAAGGGTGTGCTTGTTTTGACTTTTTTTACCACGTTTTGGTTAAAGCTGCATTTCACGAGTTTTTTTGCAACCTCAGTCGGAACAACACGTTCGTGAAGCTGCAGAATTTTGCGAATTGAGGAAGTCGGAGCAAGACCACGTCCTGTGATTTGGATATTTTTTTCATTCCAAACTTACCATAATGTCATTTACATGCATACCACAGGGTTATTTCTTATCAAACTTAAGTGATATCAATACATGTAATTATCCCTTATCAAATTTGAAAATTTCGGTCATTTACAACGCATGCCACATAATTTTATTAGAAATTCAGACCATTTACTCACATACCACTATATATTCATATATACAATAATGGTGTCGTCTTCCTTCTCGCTCGGCTCTGCTAGGGTTTCGCCTGGTGAACCCTAACAATTGTTACGGTTTTGCTGCTTCCTCTCCGGCGTCTTCGCGCCTGATTCTGTTTCGTCTCCCCGTCTTTCGGTCTTGGGAGATTTGCTCTGCGGTGCGGCTCGTCTCAGGTCTTCCCGTCTCGTGAGCTTTCCCGGCTCGGCAGTTCTCGGCTCTGCGTCTCCTGCGCGGTGCAGATCGTCTTCTCGGGAGTTCTTCGGCTTCTGTCTCGCTGATACAGCTCGCGATTTCTGCTTGTCCCGCGTGTTCTCTTTTTCAGTTTCACCCGACGCTATTTTTCTTGTGTTTTCTTCTTAACGCCACACCGGATGACTTCAAACAGATCGTATGCAGCTGCCCTTATAGGTGTCCACGCCTCAGGTATGCCTAAATTGTGTTATTTTTATCTTCGTTTAAGTGGACAGATGACATCAAGAAACCTGGTAGGAAGAATGAGAAGTCTGTTTTCTTTTTTACAGAAACAAAAGGTATTCAACTTGCTTCCTCCTGTCGTTTGAATTTGATTGAGAAATTTCTATATGATAATTCCAAAATGGAGCTTATTCGCAAGAAATTTGAACTTATGCACCTTGTTGGAGAGTGAAAAATTGGACTATTAGATAAGACATTCTTATTCAAATTAATGATGAAAAATATTACACACGCTTATTTGCTAGAAGTATAATCTGAATTGAGAACAAAATAATGAAGATTTTGAAATGGTCTGTGGATTTTGACCCACAGACGGAACCTTTATTCATTCCGGTTTGGATTCGTCTTCATGGTCTGAAATTTCATTATTTTTTATGTTGTATTCTATTGCATTGCCTCAGCTTATGGTGTTGTATTCTATTGCCTCAGCTTATGGTAAGCCACTCAAGATGGACATTCCTACTTTTAATCTTTCTCGTCCATCTGAAGCCAGAGTACTTGTCTTCCACGACATTACTTCTTCCACTTTTGAGGAAATTTGGTTGGGCACACAGCATCATGAATATTGGCAGAAGGTAGAGATTGAGCCTTTTTCTTTGTATTGTTCGAACTGTTGTATGTTCGTCCACTCCAGTTCTCTATGCTATCATCTACATCCTCACCTCAGACCAAAAAAACAAAGTGCTCCGCTAGAGGCAGTGATTCCAACTCCTCATGATCAGATCTAAGTTATTGACATTATCGATCATTAAAAGAATACACCTGAAGACGTCACTATTCCCGCAGGCAACATATCAATCATTCAATCTCCACACATTGTTGTAGCTCTCCCATCTTTGGAATCTCTTATCGTGGAGGCGAGGGAGATTCTTCAGACTTCGCATGCCCTAGAACATATCACTGATATTACCGGTGAAAATACTTCTGCTGCTTTACTACCGCCTCATTAGGTTCAGAAAGATATCAATGCTACTCAGACTCAGGGGATCATGATGTGCAAAGTCTTACACCTGTCCGGTCACCTTTGGACAAATCCATTGATCAGATGAGGAATGACAAGTCTACACATTCAGGAGGAAGAAGAAGAATGGAGACATACTTGAGCTCAGAAGTCTGATGAATGATACTTTGGTTACTTTGGATAATGATACACACCTTACCAATTTGTTAGCTGACTCACTTCCGAGAACTAAAGATAGAGGAAGGACTAAATTGAGCGTCTCTAACACTTTTGTGCCTATTGGTGGCTTTAGATACATACCTACATACTTACATGCAACAAATAATTGGATCAAAATTTTGTAAAAGGCTATAAAAAATATAAAAAATTTGTGAATTCTTTTTCCAACAAAATCAAGTGCATAAAAAAATTTATATAATATGAGTAGTGGGGTCTTTAAGATATTTATCTATAGACAACACCTTCAAAGTTGAAATTTTCAAACTGAACAACAGTTTCTGGAACATCAGTTTTTAAACAATAAATTTTCCATAGCAACTTTCGAGCCGAGAATTTATACATCCGCATATGTCCCAAACGTGCCCCAAGTCTCATGAGCTAATTCCCAAATCTCTCATGTTGTCCTATAAAACAAGAAAATTTGTCCAATTTTTGTGTTCATAGAATTGATCAACCAAGATATAGAATTAGTGAACTCAAGAATTATGCCATCTCTTGTGAGATGTTCCTTTTTTTCTTTTCCACAAATGTGCATAAACACGGATTGAAAACATTGATGGAAGTTATGACCATTGAGTTAATGATTTGTGATAAAGTGAGAGAGTTCTGGGATTGTTTGGGCAAAATTTAGGTATATGATTCATAACTAACCTCTAGAGTAAAGTTAGACATCTTCATTCCGTACTTTTTCATATTTCGTATGTATGCACGTTTAGGGCTGAAAAAGGCTTCATGGCTGAGGTGCTGCTGGTTGCGAACTGAAGGCTGTTGCTTGCTTGAGGAACAAAAGACTGGAAGAAATGCCTTCTCTGCCTAATCGGGAAGGTCTGATAGGTTGTCGGAAGGAGGTTCTGCAGGTTAGCTAGCAGCGGACTGCAGGGAAGAAGGTTCCTGCCGGTAGATGCCTGTTTGAGTTTCTGTATGAAGATTTGTAAGAAGACGTCTGTTTGACGAAAGTTCTTGCTGGGTTGACAAGTCTGCGACTGTATGACTATATGCTGGAGATGCTTGTATGCGGAAATCTTGTAGGAATTGACAGTTGTATGAGAAATTTTATCGGAGCTATGGCAGATGGAATCCCATTGGGAGGTACCTGTCGGGCACCAAAATCATGCAGGGAGACTTCCAGAGGAACATGAAGCAGGAGCCAGGGAACGAGGAAGGGCCTACAGGCTGGATAGCGGTTGAAGGGAGGATTCTGGCTCTGGTCGGGTGTTGGAGAGGCTTTGGAGGCTAAAATAAAATCTAGGGTTTGCTCCCTATCCTTGATACCATGAAAAAAGTTTGAGAAAATAATATTCTGTTATTTCTCAGTTATCAAATTACCACTCTTCTTTTTATATGGTAAAGAATGACTAAGGCACTATTAATTACGACAATTACAACTTACCAAAGAAAATCAAACTTAAGAAGGAAAGAAATGTGACATAATAAGAGAATGAAAGCAAAAAAAACTTAAAATAGGAAACTTAGAATTCCACACGGGCTATTAGGTTTTGAATATGGACTCTCTTTAGTTGTATATTTCAGTTTGTCTGGGATTTTCACTATGCCATTGATATTTTTAGATTGCTGCTGGAAGTGAAGGGAACTCAGGCTAGGTTTTGGTGGATGGAGGTCGATTGCGGTCTACAACTCGCACAACAAAAAATTTTTGGGACAAGCTTCCTCTGCTAGCTGACTGTGATTTATATATAACGTTTATTGCTGGAAGTGAAGGGAACTCAGGCTAGGTTTTGGTGGATGGAGGTCGATTGCGGTTTACAACTCGCACAACAAAAAATTTTTGGGAAAGCTTCCTCTGCTAGCTGGCTGTGATTTATATATAACATTTATTGTTTGAGAGAGTGTGCCAACAGAGTTCAGCTCAAGTTTATCTTGAACCCTTCTATAGATCCCCCAGTATACTTTGTAACTAATTAGTTATTTGATTTATTAAGGTTATTTTTCATGTTGAGATGGTAAAACTCCTATAAGTACTAACGGTAGGAATCATTTTGAACAATGCTGGTATGGACGTATAACATTTGTTCGAAATCAGTCATGACAAAGTGCATCTTAGAAAATTTGATTCCGAACTAACTTTGAACATTCCCTTTTTTTCCTCTTCTACTTTGGTCTGTAAGAGCTGTAACCACCAAACAATGCACCTCCCTTTGACCGAGAAGTACATATTTGACCTGTTTCTCATGCGGAATCTACATATACTCAAAAAATGTTTCTGCAGATTGTTCAAAATCAATATAATATTTAATGTGTAGTTGTCTGTTAAAGAACAAACTATCTAATTTAACTCAACAACTCACTGGATAATCCCTGTGTTTTGTTTGGTAAAATCAGGGTGCTGATAGTTTGGAGCTATCTGCTGCATCCAAACTTGAAGATGATGTGAACTTCTACCAAACTGTCAGTCCTGCTGTCGCAGAGCTTTTTCACATTGATCCCAAATCCAAACGACCTTCTTTAGTTCTTCTGAAGAAGGAAGCTGAAAATTTGACTTATTTTGGTATGTTAGTTTATTAATATATCCTTAGCTGTAATTTTTTTGTTTTTGTTTTTTTTTCTAACTGATGTCTAGCAAAATTTACGCTGATGTCGATGACTTGCACAGACGGCCAGTTCACTAAATCTGCCATAGTTGATTTCATATTTGCCAACAAGCTTCCTCTGGTGACCACTTTTACTAGGGAAAATGCTCCTCTTATCTTTGAGAGTCCAATTAAGAGGCAGGTCAGTCATATTCTTTTGTTATATTGTTTGCTTTATTTATATTTTTAACCTCTCTCTGACAATTTTTTGATATTACTCAATTTTCTTTTTATTAGCTTTTGCTCTTTGCACAATCAAAAGTGTCTGAAAAGCTTTTACCGGTTTTCCAAGAAGCTGCAAAATTTTTTAAGGGAAAGGTTTGTGTTAATTGGTTCATAACAAGTTTTTAATAGGCTCCTTTGAAAAGTTATCTAGGTGGTTTGTCTGATTGCAATTTATGTTTTCTGCAGCTTATCTTTGTGTACGTGGAGATGGATAACGAGGATATAGGCAAACCAGTTTCAGATTACTTTGGAGTGACAGGAGATGGCCCAAAAGTAATTTACGTTTTCAATATTACGTCATGATTGACCTTATTCTCGGAAATTATAGTTCTGCATGATAAGCATTTCTAAGCAAATTTGAACTCAAATGTTTCTTTTGCAGTTGCTTGCTTACTCGGGAAATGAAGATGGGAGAAAATACATACTTGATGGGGAACTCGTACAAGAAACTATTAAGGCATGTCATTGATAATCATGCTCCTTGCCTTATATTCAGCCCTCCTTTTTTTTTTCCCTTCACTCCTCTTTGAAAATACCGTAGTTTTACAACTTACAATGTTACTTTGGATTATGGTTGAGCATGAAATACCATAATATAACCTGACAAAATGTGACTGGCTTTACTTCTCCTAACTAATTTTCTAATTGCCTATGTGCTTTAGTGGAACTTGCCTATATTTGTCTTTCATCTGATTTCTTGCCAACAAATGTATTTTACATATTTTCAAGAATTAAATGGAGTTGGAAAAGTTCAATATGTTGAGCAAATTTATAAGCTATAATGTTTAGGGATAGTAAACAACTAGAAATCATTGAAGGATGGCTATGGATACAACAACAATAACGAGCCTTTTTCCACTAACTGGGGTCGGCTATATGAATCATTTTTCTCCATTTTGTCCTATTGAGTGTCATATTTTCTTTTATTTCTCATAAGGTAAGATCTTTTTTTATACAACATGCCCTAGTCTTTTTAGGTCTACCTCTACCTTTCTTAACATAATTCAAATCTAAAATATCTATTCTCCTAACTGGGTTAGAAGCTGGTCTACGTTTAATGTGACCAAACTATCTAAGACAACTCTTTTTAATCTGGTTTAATATTGGAGCTACGACATCCCTTTCTGTCGGTCAACTTTTTTTTTCGATTGATTAATTATGAAAATATGGTATATGAAAATAATTTTTGAGATTTAATTTAAGTATAAAAGATATATAGTTTGAGTTTTAAAAGTAGTATGTTTTAATTTTTGAAAAAATGAGACCAAATGGATCTCATTAGTCTGATAGTTTGCATAATCGTGTCTGATACCGCAAATACTACACCTTCCCGAGAGATAAGTGTAGACCTCAGCGATAGACCCAATCCTGCAAACTAAGAGATTTGTGACATCCGTTTGGTCTGCGAACCTTTTATATATGACCGACAAATTCCCCTATTTAATACAAAAATTAAATAGGATTTATTTTACCTGGGTTCCAAGTTCCCTATAGAGGCAAGCCCCTATAGTTAATTACATCCCAAATGACGGGAGTCACTTGAGAAAACTCTCGATAATGATCAATGGTTCTAGTCTACAAGAATTCAAGGTTCAGGTTTTCGAGGTAGGACGTAGAAGGGCAAATGGGAGTGGCTCAAACATGAACAGTTATTTCAGGAGTCCAAAGGAAAGAAAAGGTAGGGGATGTCACAGATCCTAAGGAGAACCCTTAGTGACTTCCCAA